ACCTCTCCTGGAAGGCGGACTTTAACAGTCGGCAGATCATGCGAGACGTGAACACGGTGGAGCACCTGGCCAAGGTACGCTTTTTGATTTTGTAGAAATATTTCATCAATAATGTTCCCTCTTTTCTAGATGGCAATGAAAACCAAAGACCTAGGCACGCTGAAGGCGCTGCTGGAGCCACTGCTCAACCTGACCGCTCACTGCACGCCAAACAAAGTCGACTTTTGCAAGGTGGAAGGCGTGCTGGACTTTTTGATCTCTAAACTGAAGGCTGCTACCTTGCCGCCCCCTACCTCCTCCTCCTCCACTTCCTCTTCTTCCACTTCCACTTCCTCCACTACTACCTCAAACCACCATCTAAACTCCACCGAGCTGGCCATTGTGGAGAACAGCGGCGGCATTCTGCGCAACATCGCCTCCTACCTGGTCAGTCAGGAAGAGCTCAGCGAGCAGCTGCGTGCTCGCAACCTGGTCGCCGTCCTCCTCGATCAGCTCAAGTGCTCACCCTCACTGGCCATTGTTGGCAATGCCTGTATCACGCTGTCCTNACTGCAACATTTGTATGCCACTCACCTCGCAAATCACAGTGCATCTTTTAAAGGTGATTTAGTAATTTTTTATTTTACTTGTTGTTTTTAATGCTCATCTGTTTTGTTTTTTAGATTCGCCAACAATATCACCCTCTTACTCCATTTCAAGCTCATTGCAGATGAGCCAAATGAAGTCCTTCAATACGGGAATGAACAGCTTTCAGTCTGAAAACAGTTACGACCTAAGCGTTAAAAGTGACATTAGCCCGAATGACAGCTTAAATCGTTCTCACAGTCACAACAACAACAACTCTAAGGCATTCAGTCTAAACAGTAAGTGCACATTACTTTGAATGAATTTCTAATCCCTCAAATCAAACCCACCACAGACTCAATGATCCATTCAAGCGGTGGCCCCAACAACAACTTTCACCCTGTGACTCGTTCCAGCAGCCAGGACAGCGTCGGCAGTTCGACGCACTCAGAGCCGGTCATCACTAAAAACCAGTCAACGGAACAGAAGAGCTCTTCATCGATGTACATGAACCTGGTCAACAACAGCAACGGAACTTCATCGCTCAACCACCGCCAGATGATAGCCTCGTACTCGGGCCAGGAAATGAACTCCATCTACGCGACACTGCCCGCCAACTCTCGCATTCGCCAGAAGCATCAGCAGCAGCAGCAGCTGATGGAGCAGAAGCCAAACTCCAGCGACATTAGCTCCTGTTCGATCATCAAGTCGCCGGCTAACTCAAAGAACAACAACAACAACACCCGCAAAAGCACTGCAGACTACCTGATTGAGGGGGAAGAGGAAGACCCGGCGCCCACTGACTACAGCCAGCGCTTCAAGGAGCAGGTCATCG